AAAAAAGAAAAATTCTATGTATGCAGATAATTGGTCTTATCATCACAAACTCCAAGATATACCTGTTGTGGCTTTCCGTGAGGTTTTGCGCGCTGAAGTATCTGTAGGAGAAAAGAGAGAGAGAGGGCTTAATTCTTTGCGTGATATATAGAACAAACATTTTTATTTCCTTGTCTGATCCCTTAGTACCTCTCAACCAAGTAAATGACTCTTTCCCACCTAAAACTAGAGTCGTCTAGTCTTTCTTCCTCTGCACAGGGGATATAGGTTGTATGTGTCTCCTTGGTGAAGGCCAACGTATAACAACTGTTTTCATCATTCTTTCAGTAGAGACATTATGATTCTCTAATGACAATCCCCACCAGATCCCTGTGTTGATAAGTCCGGTTTTTACACAACGCATGTCACTGCCCAACCCCTCTTTGCTGCCAGAGATTCCAAGCTCAATCCAGGCTTCTGGCACTTACCTGTGCAATTCACTGCAGCGTCTTCCTTATGTCCACACTCACTGTGGCCCCAGCGTCTGGCAGGACAATCCCACAAGGAAGACTCATTCCCTTTGCACTTCACTTCATTGAGCCATATGGGTCCAGTCCCCTGACCAAACTCTGCTTCTTTGAATGCTTTCAAAGCTGGACCACAGCCAAGTTGTTGACACACCACTTGAGCATCGTTCAAGTCCCAGGAGTCATCACACACTGTCCCCCAGGAACCTCCATGCCAGATCTCCACACGTCCAGAACAGGAAGTGGGTCCTTCTTGTAGTCTTATCTTGTCTGAAAAATCAGAGACATGTAGCCTATTTTTAAGACTTCTAAAAGTTTCCAAGAGTTCATAGGTGAAAAAAAAGATTTGAAACTTAAAAAAAAAAAAAAACTATTTAAAATTTTACTGAATGTGCATTTTAAAATTTAATTTTTACAAAATTTATCTTTTATAAGAGGACTTGTCATTACAGCCAACTAGGTATATTTCATCCTGCACATAATATACATAATGTGACCCAGTAAATGTTAAATGATTAAAGTTAACATTATAAATATGTGATGTCAAGTTCTTTCAAATAGGCAAGATCTTGGGAGATTGGCAGGTTGACAGAAATCTCACAGTTTAAGAAGATGTAGAGGCCAGGCACAGTGGCTCACGCCTGTAATCCCAGCACTTTGGGAGGCCAAGGCAGGCAGATTACCTGAGGTCAAAAGTTTGAGACCAGTCTGACCAACATGGGGAAACCCCGGCTCAACTAAAAATACAAAATTAGCTGGGCGTGGTGGCTCATGCTTGTAATCCCAGCCAGCTACTCGGGAGGCTGAGGCAGGAGAATCGCTTGAACCTGGAAGGCAGAGGTTGCAGTGAGCCAAGATCACACCATTGCACTCCAGCCTGGGGAACAAGAGCAAAACTCAGTCTCAAAAAAAAAAAAAAAAAAAAAAAAACCTGTAGAATGTGGAAATACCTCAGAATTGATCTTTCTGATTTCTGACTGCTTTTCTCCTTATATTAGTGTAACAAGATAATATTTGAAACAAAAATTGGAAGGTAAGGTAAACCACTCAACAGTCAAATATTAAATCACATATTCTCTTCTCCTCAGAGAAAGCAACTGAATAAATCTTTCAAGCCAACCATGGGGAGTATGATACTCTTTAGAATAATAAAAGCTGATCTTGAATATCTACAGGCCAAATTAAATAAAACCAATTACACCATCCAGGTAGAACAGATATTACCCACAAGTTACCCATTCTTGCTTAATTCGATCTAACAACTTAAGCCAGTGTGAGAATAGGAAAATAAAATCCAATGTCCCTTATCAGAAGATGATAGTGGGACTGCGGAATGGAATTTTCATATGGGTCAATGGATACTCACTGTCACATGTGATCCAGGTCTCCTCCAAGGGCCTGGCCAGTCTCTTCTCCCATGGAGATGATGGGCACTGCCACAGCGTGTCAGGTCCTTTTGGACACTGAACATTGTCCACCCACATGGGAATGGACATGGCCTTGTCTAAAGATGCAGGGTTGATTTTCCCTTTGTCTGCACAGCCCAGCTGCCTGCACACCACACCCACAGTGGTTTCAGACATGCTACTCCTGCCAACGCTGCCCCAAGCTCCGTTGTAAAAAACTTCTAGACGCCCCGCACAGGCCTCTCTGCTGGCTTCACTGGTCAATCTGAGAGACATGAACTCTGCAGTGAAACATAGAATTAGTAGTTTTGCATCTTTTCTGAAGATTCAGAGACTCCTTCCCTTTACCTTGATGTAAGAATGGCTTTAAAAATAGGTACAATAGTACAATATGTCAGTTACTAATAATTCGTTAGTAGCTTCTAGATGATTTCATAGATATTATTAAAATATTTTATTTATTCTATAAATGCATTATAGGTGTTTTAGTCTTAGATTTTGGACTCAGAGACCTCTTCAGATTGCCCTCAATGATTCTAACAGACTTTCCAGAACTCAAAGGCTCAGAGCCTTTTTCAATTACATAGTTTGGATTTTTTCCCAAAAATATTCTTTTTTTTTTTTTTTTGCAGCTGTCTTTGATAGTTAAAATTGTTAGACACTCAGGCACTAAAATCAATGTTCTGTGTACATCTCTCAAAATGACATAGTTCATTTGCTGACACTTCACAGTTTTGCTATGCATGTCTTCTACCAGATTTATGTCATTAAAATACGAATAAATCACTTCTGGGATACAGAGTTTTTCACTTCCTTGTTACTGAATCATAGTTCTGTTTCCCCCAATATATTATGAAATAGTACATTTTAAAATTTCAGAATGTTTTCTAAAACTCACCGTGTATACAAAGCAAGGGCAGTAACCTCACGCTAATTTTTGTTTCTATGACAAGTAAGTCTCATTTACCTGCCATGAAAAATTGCTTGGGCATGATAATTATCTTTTTTTCTGTAGAATGATGCAACATACGTATTTCTTCTTATCCCTTTAAATCTACTTGTTTATTAACACTGTAATTATCAAGGGTTGCCATTGGATCACTATCTAATATCCAGCCCAAAATATATTTATTAAAAACCTTCATTATGAACTTTGTTGTCATTTTCATGATATACAAGACCATTTCTGGTCTTTTCTCTTTACAATGTTACACTACCTTGCTCATGAAGTACCACCAGCACATCAAACCCAGACTTCTGTTGTCCTGACTCCCACAATAGTTCCTTTTGGACCTACTTTTCAGGAAAATCTTTAAGATTAATACCCCTCACTACCCTCTCTCAGTCCTTTCTCTATGTAATTGTGACCAGAGGTAATATGCAAAATTTACCTGAGCAGATAACTCCTGCATCCTCCTTGTGCCTGCAGTTTTGCTGCCCCCAGCCATGTGAATGGCACTGCCAAATGCGGGATTCTTTTCCATTGCATTTCATCTCATCCAGCCAGATGGGCCCTGTTCCTTCTCCAAAATGAGCAGAACCAGTGGCATTAATGGCCTCTCCACAGCCCAGCTGTCTGCACACCACATGGGCATCACTCAGGTCCCAGCTGTCATCACAGATGGTGCCCCAGGAGCCCTCATGATAAATCTCTACTCTCCCAGCACAGCGACCTCCTCCATTTACCAAGCGAAGTTGACCACTCTCTGCAAAGAGAAATGAAAATATTAATAACAAGCATTCTGCTTGTTATTAATATTTTCATAGATTTGTCACAGAGTCTCACCTATGCAGGCCACAGCACTTTCTTCTGGAATGGTAGGCCTTGTTGGGCCCAGAGATGATGAATTGCATGAGGACAGTGTTTGCGACTGGTTTCCTGCAAACACCAAAGTACTCAGTCATACAAGATACAAAAGGTTAGGGGAGTCAGACGAAATGTTATATGGATGAGTTGAGGACAAACATAGCTTAGAGAGAGAGGGGAAGGTGGATGGTCAACAAGTTTGGAATAAATCAGGTCCTTTGAGATGGGCTTGGCACATAGTAAGCACTGGATAACTATAAAGTCCATCAAAATTAGGTTTGCTCACCCTCTGAAAGACAAATGAGGTTAATACTCCGAAGCATGAATTAGTATTCATTCTTTTCATGACCCTTCAAAATGGATCACTGCATTTCACTTTTGTTCTTCAACCCTATGTACACCTTCTCTTAAGACTCATCACTGGCTGCCCCTCATCCTCTTACCTGAGCAAATTACAGAGGCCACTTGCCCTGAAGGACATAGTGAAGCACCCAGAGCAGTTACAGGACAATCTCCCATGTGCTGCTCAGTCCCAGTGCAGTGAAACATATGCCTCCAGACCTGACCATTTCCTTTTCCAAAATGTGCTCCTCCTGGGGTAGAAAGGGCAACTCCACATTTAAGCTGCTGGCAAAGAACGTGGGCATCTTCTATGTCCCAGTGAGAGTTGCAGAGGCATCCCCAGGCACCAAGCGTTTTGAGCTCCACTCTGCCCTCACATGGGGTCTTGCCATTCACCAAGCGAATTTCTGTGTATCCTGGAAGGAGACAGGGCTTTAGAAAAAGACAGCTATGATTCCCTAACCCCGTCCCTTTCACAGTATGAGAACCAACTAAAGATGTTTTCTGGGTCTTACTTGAGCAGACTACTCCAACATCCCTGCTGTGGCTACAAGTTCCTTCTGGGCGGGGTGCTACTGGGCAGAGTGAAAGATGGGACTCATGTCCCTCACACTGGAATTCTTCAGCCCAGATCTGTCCATTTCCCTCTCCAAAGTGAGCTCCCCCCAGGATAGAGACGACTGTGCCACACTGTAATTCCCTACATAGAACGCTGGCAGCTTCCAGAGAGAAGTCCGAATCACAGACGGAGCCCCATGTGTCACCATGCTTCACTTCAACGCGTCCAGAACAGGGAATGTCTCCTCCAACCAGTCTGGGTTCCCTGTGGGCTGAAAAATAAATATTATTTCAGTGAGAGATAATATGATTCCCAGATTTCCATTCATGATGAGGGTGAGGAAGGTGGTGTGGAGTGGGAAATGGAGACCAGGGTGCTCAGTGATTTCCTACACTTGTTTGTCTTGGCTTTTCTGCCTTAAGTTGGGTATGGATAATTCTAGTCCTCCCTATTCCTAACTGAACTCATCCATCTGAGAGAATTCTGGGACTTCACCTTGCGCAGCCAACCATCCCCAGAAGCAATGATAACTCTGTTCTTCCAACATTTTGCTTACTTTATTCATAATAACATCAGAGACCACAAACAATGTGTATCTACTATCGCTATCTCTTAGTCTTGCACTCATTCCTGCATGCACTGCAATCTGGGGTCTGCTCAACCTTTTTGAATTGTTCTATGTAAAGCTTTTCAATATACTTCTCATTTTCAAAATGAACATCAGACTTCTTCCTTTTGATGTCTGTTACATTTGGTATACGTGACCCTTCTTTGCACCATTTTCTCCTCCATTCTTTCTGACACTGCTTTATCAAAACATTTCATGTATTCCTTGAGTCAAGGTTCTGTCCGTAACCTTCTCATCTGCTCAATGGACATGTCTCAACTGCCAATAAATATATTTTCATCCATACTTTTTTCTTTAATTTTAGATCCACAAACATATCTGCTTAGACATGTGGAACTTAAAATATTCAAAGTTGAATGAATTATTGTATGACAAGCCCACTATATGCTTTATTTAATTAATGATATGCAGACCAAATTAGAATCACCTAAAATTGAACCACCACTTTATCTCACCACAAATAATGGTAATAATGATAGCAGTGAATATTACGTGAGCATCTATTATATTATATATATGGCATTCCAATAAGCATTTAACAAACATTATTTCATTTAATCCTTAAGATTGCCTTAGGAGACAATTGTTAATATAATTCTGATTTTACAGACAAGGAATCTGAAACATAGAGAGGAGAGATGTGGTAATTTGCTAAGGTAACACAACAAATTACTACAGAATTAGTAAGAGGACAGAATTTGAAGCCAGACAGTATATTCCAGAGCCTACAGTGCTGACCCTCATGAAACATTACACATGTAGAAAACCACCATATCTCTTGGTCCTCCAGCATATTTCTTCTTCTGCATATTTATTGCTATTGCCGTAAAGTGATTTGTCATCATCTGTCATGCAGACCTCTACAATAGCTTCCTAAATTGTTTCCTTGCTTCTAAGTCTTTTTTCCAAGAAATTTATGCCATGATTATAAATATATTAATAAATTTCAAATATTTTCATGTGATGTTTTTTCTTTAGCTAACTTAATGTTTCCTTAAAATTTATGCAATGATCCCTTACATACTTTCTTATGATTTCTGTAATAATCATGCATGCAGTAATTAATCCAAAAGTATCAGTGTAACGACCTATGACATAACAACCTATAACGTTGTCTGACTATTTTAGGCATCTGATGATGGGTGGGTTAAAAAGGCTGCCACAGAGTTTAGTCTGTCAGTGAAGATAGATAATACTAAAAATAATCATCATCATCATATTAGCTAACATGTACTTATAGCTCACTGTGTAATTCCTGTGAGGTAGGCCCTATTACCACTCCCATTTTTCTTCTGAGCAAACTGCAGCACAAACAGCTTTTACAGATTCCCTAATTTCATCCAGCTATTAAAATTAAGGAGAGGTGATAAACACTATTTCTTTAGTACACTTTAAAATAGTATGCTGTTACCTTAAAAGCTTTAATATCTATTATCTTATCAACCAAATTTGATGCTCCAGTCTAAAGATGCTTGGGCATGCCATAATTTTCATACTTCTGTGCCTCTGTAGAAACTTTTCTCTCTACTTAAAATGTATTTCCCTACTTTATGTACCTAGGAAAAAGCTACTTCTTTTCAAAGCTATTCAATTTATCACTAACAGCCTTCTCCTCCACGAACACAGTTCACTACAAGATATACATATTTTAATAGTGATGAATCCAAAAATAGAAATATATATTAGACATAAAACTAACAAATAAAGGAGCCATCTGCTCTGTTTTAGACTTCGTAGGAGAGAATACCATAGATCTAAACTGGATCTTGAAAAAAGATGAGGAGTTTGCCAAATACAGAGTGGGTGAAAAAACCTTTAAGGAATATACTCATTAAATAGCATGGAGTCACTGAAGAATTATAAGTAACTTACTGTAGCTGAAATTTAAAATATAAAGAAAAGACACACCAGAAATAATAAATGGAATTTATATTATGAAGATGCTCTTTGTCAAGTTAAGGAACACAACCATCAAGATAAGTGAGTTTCTTTGAAAATACTCAGACACAATATAAAGTACTTAAGAAATACAAACTATGTCTTTAAACTCATTCTTTAAAAGAAATAAAGGAACTGGAAGCATTCCCCTTGAAAACTGGCACAAGACAGGGATGCCCTCTCTCACCACTCTTATTCAACATAGTTTTGGAAGTTCTGGCCACGGCAATCAAGCAAGAGAAAGAAATAAAGGGTATTCAATTAGGAAAAGAGGAAGTCAAATTGTCCCTGTTTGCAGATGACATGATTGTATATTTAGAAAACCCCATCGTCTCAGCCCAAAATCTCCTTAAGCTCATAAGCAACTTCAGCAAAGTCTCAGGATACAAAATGAATGTGCAAAAATCACAAGCATTCCTATACACCAATAACAGACAAACAGAGAGACAAATCATGAGTGAACTCCCATTCACAATTGCTTCAAAGAGAATAAAATACCTAGGAATCCAACTTACAAGGGATGTGAACAACCTCTTCAAGGAGAACTACAAACCACTGCTCAATGAATTAAAGAGGACACAAACAAATGGAGGATCATTCCATGCTCATGGATAGGAAGAATCAATATTGTGAAAATGGCCATACTGCCCAAGGTAATTTATAGATTCAATGCCATCCCCATCAAGCTACCAAAGACTTTCCTTCACAGAATTGGAAAAAACTACTTTAAACTTCATATGGAACCAAAAAAGACTCCGCATTGCCAAGACAATCCTAAGCCAAAAGAACAAAGCTGGAGGCAGCACACTACTGACTTCAAACTATACTACAGGGCTACAGTAACCAAAACAGCATGGTACTGGTACCAAAACAGAGATATAGACCAATGGAACAATGCAGAGCCCTCAGAAATAATACCACACATCTACAACCATCTGATCTTTGACAAACCTGACAAAAACAAGAAATGGAGAAAGGATTCCCTATTTAATAAGTGGTGCTAGGAAAACTGGCTAGCCATAAGTAGAAAGCTGAAACTGGATCCTTTCCTTACACCTTATACAAAAATTAATTCTAGATGGATTAGAGACTTAAATGTTAGACCTAAAACCATAAAAACTCTAAAAGAAAACCTAGGCAATATCATTCAGGACATAGGCATGGGCAAGGACTTCATGTCTAAAACACCAAAAGCAATGGCAACAAAAGCCAAAATTGACAAATGGTATCTAATTAAACTAAAGAGCTTCTGCACAGCAAAAGAAACTATCATCAGATTGAACAGTCAACCTACAGAATGGGAGAAAATTTTTGCAATCTACTCATCTGACAAAGGGCTAATATGCAGAACCTACAAAGAACTCAAACAAATTTACAAGAAATAAGCCCATCAAAAAGTGGGCAAATGATATGAACAGACACTTCTCAAAAGAAGACATTTATGCAGCCAACAGACACATGAAAAAATGCTCATCATCGCTAGCCATCAGAGAAATGCAAATCAAAACCACAATGAGATACCATCTCACACCAGTTAGAATGGTGATCATTAAAAAGTCAGGAAACAACAGGTGCTGGAGAGGATGTGGAGAAACAGGAACACTTTTATACTCTTGGTGGGACTGTAAACAGTTCAACCATTGTGGAAGACAGTGTGGTGATTCCTCAAGGATCTAGAACCAGAAATACCATTTGACCCAGCCATCCCTTTACTGGGTATATACCCAAAGGATTATAAATCATGCTGCTATAAAGACACATGCACACGTATGTTTATTGCGGTACTATTCACAATAGCAAAGACTTGGAACCAACCCAAATGTCCATCAATGACAGACTGGATTAAGAAAATGTGACATATACACCATGGAGTACCATGCAGCCATAAAAAAGGATGAGTTCCTGTCCTTTGTAGGAACATGGATTCAGCTGGAAACCATCATTGTCAGCAAACTATCGCAAGAACAGAAAACCAAACACCGCATGTTCTCACTCATAGGTGGGAATTGAACAATGAGAACACTTGGACACAGGAAGAGGAACATCACACACTGGGGCCTGTCGTGGGGTCGGGGGAGGGGTGAGGGATAGCATTAGGAGATATACCTAATGTAAACGACGAGTTAATGGGTGCAGCACACCAAGATGGCACATGTATACATATGTAACAAACCTGCACATTGTGCACATGTACCCTAGAACTTAAAGTATTTTAAAATAAAAAAAGAAAATTCAGTTGAAAATGAGGCCTTCTAAAGGTCTTAAGTCCTTTATAGATATCTGCTATCGAATATCAACAATTTTTGTAATCTCTTGATGTTACTATCACCATTATACAGATACACCGTCAGCCCATGCCAATCTACATACTCTGATTTACTTTCATCTCTCATAAACCTTTCACCTGATACTAAAATGTCTTAGAAAATGTTTTGAATATGACCGTATTTTGTACTACAGCAATATAGAATATCTCAGCATGTCAAAATTTCACCAATTATCCATTAAATCTGCACAAAGCAAATTCCTATCCAAATTTGAGATGAAAAACATGTTACTTTCTAAACATAGGTCAGAGTTTAAAGCAAACAACACCTCTACAACGCAAATAGTTTATGACCCTTGAGTGGGATGGTCTTTCATTTCTTCTTTTTGAATCTTTATTCAAGCATGAAATTTCTCTAAGATATCATTAACTAGTATTCATATGATCCCAACTCCTTTTGGACAGCCCTAAATCTTTAAGTAAAAGCAATTTCCTAGATCAAGTCAAATTCTGGTTTGTTGTAACTTCTTACTCTTTTGTTTGGATCCATCTTGAACAAAATAAAGCAAAAGAAAACCAGTTAAAAAGAAAAAAACAAAAAAACAAATATTTTGTTTTCCATTGTGAAAACTCATTAAGCAATTGAAAAAAAGTCCCTTCTATAAATATCCTCTTGTTTTCTTTGTCCTAACATATTTGAGTCAGGGCAGAGGACAAATTCTCCTACTCAGAAAGTGACTTGGAGACTCCATCCTCAGCCTTTATTTCATGAATCTGCTAGTAACATGTTAATCTATCCTATGGGTCGCTTTGCTTGTATTATTACTCTTTAGACATGGTTAGAATATTGGAAATTTATCCCTTTAATTGATTTTTTTCTGCTAAATCTCTGACTGTGTTTTTACATAAAAGCCATTAAGTAAATTTTTGCACCTGGATTTAGTGCCATTATCAACAACTTTTCCCCTGGCATAGGTAACTGAATCTGTTTTCCTTTCTTTCTCTAGAAAGATGAAGAGATCTACAAAGAGCTTTAACATAATTAGAGATATAATTAACTAGAATTACTTCCTTTTGTTTAGTGATAAATAAAATATGCAATTATGATTTAAAGAAGCATTAATGTATTTTCAACATCTAATGCTTTTCAGACTCTGAAGAAGTATAGATCATCATAATCTCAGAATTATTTCTCAATCCTAAGTTGAAATACAGCATAGCTCAGATGAACTGTTTCTTAAGGTCAGATGTCCTCTCTAGTACATACACAGACATCACAAACAAAATGTCTGAGATTCAAAGTAATTTTATGACCAAAATTTCCTAGACCTTTTTCTGTCAACAATTTATCTTAAATTGTTTCCAATTCTCCTGCTTAGTTGAATTCTTCTGGTTCTTTTCAGCTATATAGCCCTGTGTTATATAAAAGTTAAAGAATTTAAACAGATTATCAAATTCGTAGCTTGAATTTGGCAGGCACAGAGAAAGCATGTCCATTATTGAAAGAGACAGCATGTCATCATTGACAGAGACAGTATCAGTATGTCATCATTGAAAGTATCAAGTAAATCAAGAAACAAAAGTATAAACTATATTACTAACAAAACATGTAAAAAGCTAAAAACCAAGGCCCCCAACATAAGTAGAAGAACTTCCAAAACCTAAAGAAATATAACAAAGGAGTTTGCAAAAGGAAATAAAAAGTGCACATGGCAAATAGCAAACAAAAATACAGCTCTGTAAAGTACGGAGCCCATATTAAGTTGCAAATTTATATTATTTATGATTTCTATTATACACATCTGAATAGAATCCTGAATAATTTAGAACATGTTACCGTAAGTAAGGGATTCTAGTAATGCAACCTAAAATATGGGTGTGGTTGAATGGAGTTGATGGGCAGAATGGATTAATGACTCAGGTATGAGAGGCTAAAAAGCTAATGAGTCTTACACATGGTAAAATGTTTGGGCAAACCTCACTTTGAAAAGAAAACCGTGTGCTCACTGATGCTTAAAAAATGCAGAATTTATTGGGCAAAGTACAAGAAACAAAACTACAAAAAAATCAGAATATTTGCATGACGCGTATTCTTCTTGCCACTTTTAGCATTTACAAGAAAGATGAATTCAGACTACAGTAGTCAGAATGCAAGCAGAAATGGGAGGAGAAATATCAATTTTATAAGGTGCTATAGTCTGCCTGCAGGTGTTGTACATAGTTAATCAAGAGTCCCATAATTTGGAATTGAAAAATTGAAGATAAAACTCTAAGTATCCTATCCCCCAAATTGAGATGGTGGTAAAACTATAGCCTTATCAGAAGATAAAACTGATGCTCCAGATACAAAGGCAATGAGTCCACTGGCAAAGATGGAATTTAGTCTTGTCCTTCCTCCCAAACCCACAGTTTCAAATGGCCTTAAGGCAGTGGTCAATAATTAAAGAGAAGGGCTGGTCATAGCATAGATCAAAGTATATTTATATGCTCTTGGACTATAGTTCCTTTCAGATGGCATTGGGTTATAAAGCAAGTAGACTAGAAGCTTAGTAACCTTGTAAAGAACTTTTTTGTTGAATTTGAGAGTAGCTGACATCAGCCCTTGATTAGTCAATCTTTAAAGTAATCCAAAGGTCCCTAAAACAATATTAGCAGAAGGTGGATTGTAAAAGGTGTGCTGTCCTTAGATAGAGATACTCTCCAAACCAAACTTGGAGGTAACTGTGAAGAATAATGTGCCAGGAAGAACTACCCTGAGAGCAACACTAGGGCCCATGAAGGAGAGTGGACAGAAGATACCTTCTCAGAGGCCCGCACGTCGTCTACTAGATTGGCTTTCCAAGGAACTCTCTGAGCTGTGGGGTGGCTCATCCTTCCTGTCCAGTAGCGTTTGATAATCACTTCAGCAAATCTATTCTGGATGTTTCTTGGTGACAACAGAGACACCAAAACAGCCTTAAACTGCTTACCTATTTGACTAATTTTAAATGAGAAAAAGTAAACACTGTCTTTCTTTAGCCACTATTATTTGTTTCTCTTTTACATACAGCAGAACTTAATGCTAATCAATGTAAAATACAATTAATAGGAAAATATACAAACCATTATAAATTTAGAAGAAAAACCTATAAACTAAAATATTTATATTAGTAAAGCAGAAGAAATAAAACTTAAGACTCAACTCAAGAAGTTAGGGGCCAAAAAGAAATCAAACTTTAGGAAATCTGAAAGAATTATTAGAAAGAAAAGTAAATTTTAATGAATTCGAAAGCAAACAAAGGTAATATTAATTTTTTAAAATCCAAATAATGATTTTCTTAAAAAAATTAGCTAAGAAAATGGCTAATCTTGTCAAGTAAAATAAATTAAAAGAATAAATGAATACACACAGTAATAAATACTAAGAAATGTTATGGATATGGAAGTAATTTCAGACAGCTCTTTAAATACTGATGTGAAATTTGATCAAGAAACTTTACTAAGTGAATACTTAAGGTACAAAACAATGTATACAACATGTCACCCTTTGGCTAATGAAAGCAAATGATAGCTATATATAGATTTGTTTGTATTTTCTTGTATTTACCTGAAATATCTCAAATAATATATAAATATTCCAACCACATAAGTTGTCTGTGAGGAAAAGAATTGGATAGTAGTGGGGGAAGAGTTTACACTTTTTTCTTTTGAAGTTTAAACCATCTGATTATATTGCCAGGTCAAGAATATTTTCTAAAAAGTAATATAGCAATTCAAATTTACATCTTAAATGATTGCCTTTTTTTCAATCGGAGGATAATTTCCACTTAACTAGAGGTAAGCACCATTTGTAACATCAGGGAAATGCCCCTCGCTGCATGCCTAGGTTGGGAGGTATCTGGAGCCATACTGTTGGTTAGAGGACATGCAACACGTACAAGTTTCCATTCTGTGAGGTCTCTACATATTTAATGGTTTTCTTGTACACTGTGTTTTCTAAAGTCTTTCCGTTGCAGAGTAAAAGTTACATTTACTTTAGAATTATTTTAAAAGCATCACTTTTCAACAAAGTTAGCATTTGTATAAATATAATTAGCATAAAATACTAAAGATTATCCACAAACCCAACCAGTTTACAACTCATTTTTGAGCTTTTTAAAGAGGTTGCAGTGAAATATCCACAGGTTTTCAAAAAAAAGACAATTCTTTCACAGTACAATAGAGGGAGATGAAGGTTATGTCAGTTTATCCAACATGGTTATTTTTAAATCTTTTGGTGACATCCTGTGAAAGAAATACTGAATTCTCTTTTTTAAATTTTAATCCTCCTTAATCTCTTATACTTCTATTGATTTAAAAATTACTCAAAAACCAAAGTGAGCAAAACCCAAACACTTCTATCTAAAGTGCAATGTGAATTGTAAACTTATCTGTCTCTCCCAGTGGAAATTGTGCAGATATTTTCTGGTTTCTTGAGAATGATCTAGTCATAAGGACCAATGTTTCTTTTCAATGTTAAAGGCAGTACTGGAAATTTACACCCTTCTTCTTAACAAGTTGATTGAAAGTCATACCTGAGCAGGTAATTTTGGCTTCTTCATAGTGATCACAGGTAAGTCCACCCCATTGCCAGTTCTTGCAGTCCCAAAGAGAAGTTTCATTTCCGTTACAGCTACTTAGAAACAGCCACGTGTTTGTTGCCTGGATTTTGGAGTATACTTGATAGGATGTTTTGAGTGCAGATCCACATCCCAGCTGCCTGCAAACCACGTCAGCTTCTTTCAGTCCCCAGCCTCTGTCACACACCTTCCCTAACAGTCTCTGAATCTCCACCTCAACTGTCCCAGCACAGCGGCTGCCTCCACCTCTAAGTCTTAGCTCCAGATCTGATCCATCTGCAAAAGAAACATAAACTTAAACCATCGATACATACGGAGGTTAGCTTCCAGAGGATTTTTTTGTCTTTTTTCTTCTCTGATACTGATACACTAGAAATTATAGCTTACTTATTTCCTGACTTTTTAAGAAACAATAAGATACACCACAAATTTTTGTTAGAAATGGGACTGTAGTTTCAAGGGTTGATAAAAATTGTCAATGGCAGAAAGATATAAGCAATTCTGCTTTAAAAGAGATTTCTCAAAAAGTGGGTGAAGGATATGAACAGATACTTCTGAAAACAAGGCATTTATGTGGACAACAAACATATGAAAAATAGCTCATCATCACTGGTCATTAGAGAAATGCAAATCAAAACCACAATGAGATACCATCTCATACCAGTTAGAATCGCGATCATTAAAAAGTGTGGAAACAGATGTTGGCAAGGATGTGGAGAAATAGGAATGCTTTTACACTGTTTGGTGGGAGTGTAAATTAGTTCAACCATTATGGAAGACAGTGTGGTGATTCCTTAAGGATCTAGAACTAGAAATACCATTTGACCCAGCGATCCCATTACTGGGTATACACCCAAAGGATTATAAATCTTTCTACTATAAAGACACATGTACATGTATGTTTACTGCAGCACTATTCACAATAGCAAAGACTTGGAACCAACCCAAATGCCCATCAATAATAGACTGGATAAAGAACATGTGGTACACATACACCATGGAATACTACGCAGCCATAAAAAAGAATGAGTTTATGTCCCTCGAAGGGACATGGATAAAGCTACAAACCATCATCCTCAGCAAACTAACACAAGAACAGAAAACCAAACACCTCATGTTCTCACTCAAAACTGGGAATTGAACAATGAGAACACATGGACACAGGAAAAGGAACATCACACACTGGGGCCTGTCAGGGGGTGGGGGGAAAGGGGAGAGAGAGCATTAGGACAAGTACCTAATGCATGGGGGGTTAAAACCTAGATGACAGGTTGATATGTGAAGCAGACCACCATGGCACATGTATACCCATGTAACAAACCTGCACATTAAACACATGTATCCCAGAACTTAAAGTTAAAAAAATAAGTAAATTTAAAATTTTACAAAGAGATTCCTATGAAATTTTGTCTCTCTGAGCTCCAGGTAGATTCTGAGTTTGAAGTGTGCTCCATAACAGTAGTCTGAGTAATTATTACAGAGAATGATGTCAGACAACTCTCCAAACTAGTTGAATAAAGAACATGTCAAAGATTACAAGTATAAAGGAATTCCCAGCAAGGAATCTACTAGGCATTTCTACTTCTTACATCTATTCCTACTCCTAAGGAGCACAGGACTTTCTCTTTCTGCTTTTCTTTTTGTTTAGTGTTTTGATTTTGGTTTTAACGTACCAGAACATGTTACGCCAGCATCTTCATTGTGATTGCAATAATGCTTTCCCCATTCATGGTGTTTACATTGCCAGACCGCAGGTTCATGTCCCTGGCAAGAAACACTGTCAAGCCAGATGTGTCCGAATCCCTCACTGGCGTTAACTCGACCAATGGCGGTGATAGCAGTTGGACATCCCAGTTGCTTGCATGCCACAGCAGCATCATGACTGTCCCAGCCGTCATCACATATTGTCCCCCATTCTCCTTGGAATCTCACTTCTAATCTTCCTGAACATTCAGTGACTCCATCTACCAGTCTCAGGCTCAGATCTGCTCCCTCTGTAACAGAGATACACAACAGGTCTGCGATAGGGAAGTAAGAACATGAGACTATAAATAGCTGTACCTAAGATGAGTTAAGGAAAACGGGAGAGATATAAGTGGAGACAGAGAAAACTGTGATGTACTGTACTAGCACTGGAAATCATTCAAGATGGAAGGAGGAGTGGATCAGGCAAGAAGATGGACATCTCAGTATAGACAGCATATACTACAGGAAGTGTTTCTAACAGGAGATCCAGGGACTGAATTTCATCTAGAGACCTGCTATTTGACCACCACAGAGTTCTTGTTAGAACTGTTTACTTTTTCTGGTTAATATATATTCGCACGTGTTTAACTGGCACCCGCATCCTTCAGTTTGCCTCCATACTTAGCAATCCCTTTTGCCTCTGACTGCATTCTCCATTGATACTACCTAGCCTGTGTTGTATACCTGAACCTGTTGTGTCCACTTCCTTAGTTTAAAAGCAGAGCAAAGAGAAAGGAGGCTTCAGTACTACAATTTTCACCTTCCCCAAATCAATATTCTTCAAAGAATAGACGTTGATTCTGAAGAATATTCTGTAATAAATTAAACTGGTTTTTTCCTCTGGCAGTTTCCATTTTCATTCTCACAATATTATTTATTGTGATTCCTCAGCATGTGCTAACTGGGGGCCTAGAGAAATTTTGATGGGTAAAAGAGAATGGAAGATATAGTCTGTGGTTTTTCTACTCCAAATTCTTCATATTCTTCAGCTAACAAAACCTATCTTTCTTGTAGGAGTTCCATTCATTGTGGTTCAGGCTATAGCTGATCACATTGTTCAACAAGAAAAAGCCTGTTCAAGACATGCAGAAAGAGATAGAACCCAGATGACATTGTTCAAGAACCTGAATCCAACTATGCATGAGGCTAACTATACCCTCTGAATTTCCCAGTTTTGTGAGCCAGTATTCTCTTTGTTTTAAATGAGTTTGAATGGAAGTTCATTTATTTGCACAGAGAGAGAGAGAGAGAGAGAGAGAGAGAGAGAGAGAGAAAGAAACCTGGTGAAGATAGGGATTTTTTTACTCTTATTTTCCTAAGTGTTCTCTGGGGTTCAAGACACACTCAATCTCCTTTTATACTAAGAATTCAACAGAAAAACGAAGAGTGGTTCCCTGCACACACAAACCATTGTACCTGCCCCCAGTCTGAGTATCAACGTGAAAGTCTCTAGACAGATACAATGCATATCCAGTATAAATAAAATTTTAATGGGAAACCAATATTGATTTTTAAAAAGTGATTTGCTTCTGTGAATTTGAAAAATGATTTGGGAAAGAGTGGGTTAATGAGGCTAATGAGGAGGCTTTTGTGGATTAGATGATAACTGGAGTGGTTTTGTCTTAAAACTTCATAGTGCAAAATTTCCTAGTAAAGCCCTTCCTTTCTTCCTTTTTCAAACCTTTTTCTTTTCGGTCTCTCCCTTTCTTTATGGGCTTTTCCTAAACACTGTCTTCTTTTCTTATGACCTGGATCTCAGTTTCACTATACACCCTTCTTCCCTAACCTATTTCTCCTAATTTCAGGTAAGGTAAAAAGTCCACAGGTATCAGGACTGGAACCTGAAGTTAGGTTAAAATGTGGTGACAAAAGAAGCAGATTTCATTATGTTCTTAAGAGTTCAGGCTTTTAAGATTTATTACCCCTTTCTTTTGTCCTCTCCTGGAGAATCGAATGAGCCAAGATCAGTCCTTACTTGAGCAAATCACTCCAGCATCCTCAGCATGATCACAGTTATGCTTTCTCCATCCTTGATGTTTGCAGTTCCAGAGAGCTGACTCATTTCCGTTGCATATAAGATCATCAAACCAGATTGGTCCAGAGCCTTCTCCAAAATTAGCTGAACCAGAGAAACTGACAGCACTTCCACATTCAAGTTGTTTACAAACCACAGATGCATGATCGATGCTGAAGTTATCATCACACACTGTTCCCCACTGTCCTTGGAATTTGATCTCTATTCTTCCAGAGCACATATTCCCTCCATTCGTCAGCCTCATTTCCAAATCGGATCCATCTGGAGCAGAGAAAAGACCAGAGTTCAGAAGTTACATTCATTTAGAAGTGATTTTAGAAAATAAGTTTCCTCTGGACACTTGGGATTTGATGTTGTCCTTAAAATGGTGCCTGATTTTGGATGTTGCCCAGCTCCACACAGTGGATAATTTTAGTATGTTAAAATCTAGGAAGCAATTAGGATTTTTATCTGTATCTACTTACAAAGGAAAATATTTACAGATTAAAGTTTTTAAATTTTCTGTTTTGTTTTGTTTCCTTCCATTACTAGGATAGATGTAAATACTTTTTATATAGAAATAGATAAATTCGACTCAACTTATTTAAATTTGACTCCAGCTAAAGCTTTAGGTGTATAAATTTCAAAACGCAAATTGATTAACTCCACTGGTAGTTATAAAACAACAGAAAATAAGAGCTAAAAGTACTACACTGATGTTTTAGCTAAACAGCCCGTTCTATAGACAGCAATAATTATGATAAGAGCCTGCTAAAATTTATGATAATTTTAAACTTTGCAGTAGATGTTACTTTTGTTATTCTCCATTTCACACCTCCCATAGTGGTTAAAAATAAGAGGAAAGAAGGAGGAGACGGAAGAGGAAGAGGAGAAAGAAGAAAGAGAACTGAGTCACCAAGAGAACCATAAGGATCTTCAGCACCTGTTACTTACCAAACAGTATGCCAGTAGTTTTACATGTATTATATCATTGAGTCCTCAGAGACTGAAGTTTAAAGAGATTTGACAACTTGCACAAAATCATAGGATATTAGCTATGGAAAATTTATTTCAGCATTTTTCTAGATGCTACTGTGTGTTTCTCTTATCACATCACAATACCTGGACAGAGATAAGTCCTTTCTATAGTCGGTCCTCTGGGAGAGACAGAGGCTGGGAGGTGAGAGGGTTGCATAAAAAATTAATGAAACAGGCCAATCATGGTGGCTCACGCCTGTAATTCCAGCATTTTGGAAGGCCAAGTCAGGCAGATCACCTGAGGTCAGGAGTTGGAGACCAGCCGGGCCAACATGGTGAAACACCGTCTCTACTAAAAATACAAAAATTAGCCAGGTGTGGTGGCAGGTGCCTATAATCCCAGCTACTCGGGAGGCTAAGGCCGGAGAATCACTTGAACCTGGGAGGTGGAGGTTGCAGTGAGCCGAGATTGTACCATCGCACTCCAGGCTGGGGGACAAGAGTGAGACTTCGTTTCCAAACAAAAAAGAATGAAACAAGCAAGGAGAAATGGGGAGCCCAGGAATCTGAATTGGGTCAGAAACGTGCCCTTGGGATTTGCCAGCAGAAAGTCCTGACACATGGCTTTCTCAGTTATTGTGGGGTCAATTGCAATAAAACATATGAAGATGTTTTGTAAATTAAAACCACAACGTAAATGAAATGAATAGCACTGCACACTGGATCAAGCAATTATACTTTCAAAGAATCCTTCCTACAACAAGAAATGATGTATTAAAGCTAGAAATAGTTGATTTTTGTTCACTAAGTTGATTATCAGTTAATGGACAAAAGGGTAATAATTTGTGGGTCAACATATCAAAACAAGTCACTGGGAAAGAGAAAAAGGAAATAACTTAGATGTCATGATATTTTTATGATATAGGAATAGTAGGTTACATTAAGCTTACTGAATATAAAATTTAAGCCACCACTTTTTGGCTTTTTGGCTAAGATCACATATAAAATTGAAGCCAGTCACTTCCTCATTAATCACCGTGTTCAGAATTATCTTCATTTAAAAAAAAATGCCCTTGTGTTTTGTGGTTTTCTAGCAATGGATTGAGTACTTTTATGCAGGAACTAGATTGCTTACAGGAAAATGGCTTATTCTAGGTTTTAACCCATCTGCATATTTCTTCCCCACCAAGGATTTTGTGTTGAGGCTTTGACTAATGCAAGTCTTACCTGAGCAAGTCACTCCAGCATCTTGTTGGTGAGTACAGTTACTATGCTTTCCCCATCCATCATGTTTGCAGTCCCAAAGAGCTGACTCATTCCCACGACAAGAAACATGATCCATCCAAATGCGTCCAGAACCTGCACTGGAATTAGCCCATCCAGTGGCTTTGATAGCAGTTGGACATCCCAGCTGGTTACAAATCACAGAGACCGCTTCCATGCTCCAGCCATTATTACACACCGTTCCCCACTCCTCCTGGACTTTCACTTCCACTCTCCCACTACATTTGTTTTCACCATCCACTAGCCTCAGCTCCTTGGTTGTTCCTCCTGCAACAATGGATTAAGACAGTCACTGGCCAAGGTCGCAAAAAGCAGGTAAAAAATTATTTTTTACATAAATTATTTATCCTTCAAACTCAGATTTGAGAACCATCCCAGTTCTATACATGGTAAAATAGAAGAACGTTATTTCACAGTCATTCAAATATAAGTATCAGTATTACTGGTTTCAAATTAAGCAGTGCTATATAACCAGTAAAGGCAAGTAACTCAATAATGTTTAATAGCTTTATTTTATGGTTGAAGAGTCTTAATAGTGGCAATTTATATAATTTCCATGAAGCGTTTTCAAGTTAAATAAGATTCTACAGAACGTTATGGGGATGAACTTTTTACATTTCTCCAAAACCATAAGGTCGATAGAAAGAAGGTAATAGAGAATTTATGAAGATGAAAAGACTAGTTGTAAGAAATTTAACCCTTATTTCATACAAATATGTAAAATAGCATAAATCTTAAAAACACTAGACTGAAACTTATCTACTTAAATAAAAATTAAGATGGATATATTTTCCTGCTATTTTCTACCATAAAATAAACCTGTTTGTACTCTCTTCCCACCCCCAGATGATAGATGATCTCAGTTGCCTCCTTGGCATTATTTTACCTTTATTTAGGAATCCAGTGGTCCCACCAACCAGGCATCTCTCAATACATTTTTAGATAAATTTTGGCATTTGAATTTACTAATGTGTTTCCCAAATTCACTTTTGTTCTAATGATTCTGAAGTTTCTCCTCCTTTGTATTCTTTCCTATTTTTTAGCTCAACATTATTTCTAATCTTTAAGTAAAATTCATCTTTCTGCTGTGAGTTTATTTTATTTGGTGAGGAACCATGCTAATATTTTGGTGTCGCATGGTTAGATTTTTATTGTGTGCTTTTAATAATATCTGATCTTTTGAATACATGGAGCATGTCACCTAGTTTTTAGATGCTACTCAGCCTTCAGAAAAATTGTTTGCTTTTTAACTGTTCTTGTCAGAGTGGGTGAAGGCTGTAAGTAAATTTGACAGAGTACTCACCAAGAGAACTGGTGACAAAACAGGCACTGAGAAGTAAGACCACAGCAATAGTGAAGGGGCTCAAGTTGACAAAATGTCTTCTGACGTCTGTGGAAAAAAAAAGAGGGCAAAAGTAGCATCTTCCCAAAAAAAGACTTTGGAGAAGATAGACAGTTTCAGAGGTTAATTAACAAAGAAGGTCAAACCAAGACAGAAAACTCTTCCTTTTAAATTGCAAGGCAGGCAGGAAACATTCATACCCAGGCTCATATAGTTTCAGTGAAATAGCTTTGAAAATGTTCATGTTTATAGGCAACCTAGAGGTGAGGGACTAGAAGAAGGTTGGTGGTGGAAATGAGAATTGCAAGGGCAACCCTTAAAACCTGGAAAATGAGAACAACATCAATGAAACTTATAGTAGACAATTCTCCCAGCAGGCACAGGGAAGGTATCCTGAGATTTCTCTATTCCCTAACCACCTCGATATTCAATTACGGATGCCCCCATCTTCAAGACTACCTGAGCCGCACTGATAGAGGATAAGTTCCATGAGTAAATGAATTATATCTATCATGTTCACCATAATTTCACCAGTACCTGGCTTGATGCTTGCCAAATAGTAGCTAGCTGAACAATACCTTGATGGAATAAAGTGACGATATTCATATCTGAAAAGCTCAAATATTAAATCTTGTCATCTTTACCTGTATCATTATCACATAATACACTCTTTAATGCTGTTATCACTCTCATATCTTCTCATTACTCTAACCCAACACTAATTTAAAACTAAAACTGCTAAATGATTTTAACATGTCCAAATAACTCTTGAAATAGATAACTCACTTATCAGAGTAGATAATCTTCTTTATGTAATTAACTCTCTATCCATATTCATTTCTGCGTATTCCATCTTTTCTAACAACTATTTTTTCATACTCAATACATTTCAGTTAACTTTAGTTCCTGACTTAATTTCACCTCAGCAGTTTTACAAAATTAATGCCAACTCTGATTCCTATATCACATCTTCAATTTTGAATCTATGGCAAATCAAAGATGCTGCCATATAAGCCTATGTCCTTTTTCCACTCCTTACTCTCCTCATGCCAATCACTTTTAAATCACATCCATTGACTGTCATAATAATATACCCCATTAAAGGGGAAATGTAGAATAAATGAGAAGCTTTTACCAGCAGATCCAGAGTCTTCAAGTAGCACCATTCTGAGTTTGATCATTCCAAAGTTTTATAACTTCAATGATTCTTAAATCTTCTTGTATTATTCCGTAGAAATGTTCTTCTAAAGAAAAGGACTAAGAATTCTAAAAATCACTTCACTCTCATGAAAATGAAAAGGCTACATACGGAGGCGGAGTCAACCCAAAAAGGGAAGTCATTGAAAGAGCTGAGGTTCCATTTCGTACTCATGTTTTCTTCAATATGGGACATGAAACAACCAAAGGAAATTGGGAAACACTTCCCACAGATTTTGAAAAATTAGAGGAAATACTAACTCATATGCTGCTGTTGCTGAATTAAATATTTTACATTTTTGAACTTCATTTTGGACAAAATATATGAGATACAAAAAGGTACTGTCATGTAGAAAAATTATGTAAAAAAACTAAAGCAAAACAGGTAAAACATAATTAAATAATTAATGTTTTATTATATCCACTTTTAATTTTATTTCCATAATCAAATGTGTCTAATGAGTAATTTTGTGTAAGTTGTTGAGACACAGCATTTGTCATTTCTTTTCTAATGGGATGAAGTACACCAAGAGAATTAGCCATGACTATTACTGATATTACAAATGGTGAAACAAAAATTAGCAAAACATGGTTTTAGCTCTATATAACTCAGATTCAAGTAAGAGAAACACATATGATAACAACAATGAACATAAAGTTAAAGTGTGGGGGTAAAAATAATGGATGAAGTAGTCCTATCTATTGAGAGAAAGGAATGAACAGTCAGAAAACTCTTTTCTCTGAGGAAAGGCTTAAATTGTGTCCTAAAAGATGAGAAAAACATTGCCAAAGGGACAAATGATAAAGGAGTTTAAGGCATAAGAAATAGCACATACAAATGAATATTTATATATAAAAACATATCAGCTCGAAATAACTACTAATAGTTCATCATGGCATACATATTGTCAGGTGTTAGTGATGGGCCTGAAATGGGGAATTAAAGTAGCACCTCCAGCCTTCCAAAGAAACATTCACTAGAACCCAGTCAACAAAGGCACCCTGCTTTCTTCCATTTCTTGGGCATGCCAAATCTCTCCCTGCCTCATGGTATGTCATACATATTGTTCCTTCTGTGTTTACTGCCTCCCTACCAGTACCTTTCTCTAAGATAATTCTTACTCACGTATACTTTATTTCTCAGTTAATCATCCCTTCATTAGGAGAAATAACTCCAACCCTGAATGACCCCAGAAAATAAACACTCAAGATACCCTGTACTTATGAGGACTGTCGATTATGTTTTTATATTTATTGTTTATCTTACTTGCTAGTCTTAAGATACCAGGATAGGAACTGCCTTTTTTTAAAAAAGACATCTACCAGTCCCTGCCAGATGGTAGGCTCGATATTACCTTTTTGTTGTTGTTGATAATGTTGTTATCATCGCTGAGGTAAACAAGGACTACATGAAGAGGAGGTTTATATACCAAGGTAAAGAATTATAATTTTACACTGCAGGCAAGTAATGACATTAAATAGTTTGAAACATGAATATTAAAGTGCTTTGTCTTTTACATATTTCATCTTGCTAGCAACTTTGAGGATGATTGGTGGCCAGGGTAAAAATGGAAATAAGAGCAAGACTAAATGCAGTGAAAGTGAATATTATAGCAAAAACCTAGTAGAATAAGAGCCTACTTGAAAAGATATAGTAGAAAAATGGAAGAAATAGATTGGTGCAAAATTAAAAAGCTAGGTGAACAAGACATTTTTGCTTTCATTCAAAATGAAGAAACAGGAAGTGTGTTTACCATTCCACCTGAAACAACTAAAAGCCAAACCAAATATGTGTAGCAGTGATTTTCAAGACACTGAAAATGAGGCAACAAGAATAGTTGTTGCCTGGATCTCAAGGATTGTGATCCATGAGTGATGAGAAGCTAAGCTGAGTTTACTGCCTTGAGATAGTTTCCAGGCTACCATGGAGTAGGAAACCCAGAGAATGATCAGAGGAGTACCAGAGTTGGGGAGAAGCAGCTGAGAATCTGGGAGACTAAGGTGGCTAGAATTCACAGGAAATAGTCTCATAGAGGAGAAAGTTGCAGGGAGAGAGAGAGAGAGAGAGAGAGAGCGGGAGTAAGGAGGAGGCAAGGAGAGAGAGCTGAATATCTGTAGAGTCCCCTTTGAGTATTCAGCTGAGTATTGTTAAGTGCATGCATGTGAGCAAATTACCTGAGTTTGGGGAAAGAATAATGAAAGGATTAGAGTTACACACAGGGCCAGGAAAAGTGACCGTTCACATGGAAAACTCACAATTCATGGGGTATTTGGTAGAGTTCACAGATGAGTCTTACTACAGTGGTGGGAAATAATTAGCCCTAGCTACTTGCTGTTTGGATCCCACCTAACAAATTTTAAAGACAAGACCCAAAGAATCAAATTGTTTCCAAGAACATAACAGTGTTCTAGACTAAACCTTGAAATATCTAAAGCAATAAAAATAACTTAAAACTCAGCAAAGTTTAGTTTACGACGTCTGGAATTAAACAAAATATTACTTAGTGCTATGGTCTAAATGTTTGTGTCTCCTCAAAATTCATATGTTGAGATCCTAACCTCCAAGGTATTAGTAGGTAGGGCCTTTGGGAGATAACTAGGTCATGAGGGCTCCGCCTTCATGAATGGGGTTACTGCCCTCATGAAAGAGATCCCTGAGAGACGACTGATCCCTTTTGCCATGTGAAGTACAGCTTAAAAATGGTAATCTATAACCCTGGAAGTGGACTCTCACCAGACACTGAATCTGACAGGATCTTGATCTTGGACTTCCCAGCCTCCAAAACAAAGAAATAAATTGCTGTTTACAAACCTCTGAGTCCATGTTGTGTAGTTTCTTTTTTGGGGAGTCGGGAGGAGTGCTGATTATAATCTCAAAACATGCAAATAGACATGCCATAATCCTAAATGTTAAAATCCCAAAGTTCAACATCCCTAAAGATCAACATCTCTGAAATGTAAAAATTCCTAACATCAAAAACTGCAGAAATTACAATTCAGAATGTTGAAATTCTGAAAGTTGAATTCTGGGAAAGACATCGGTACATTTTTGGTTGCATACAGGATATTGCATTCTGTTAATTACAACATGTTAGACAGAACTATTCCTTTGGTATCGCCTTTATTTGGAAATTAAATATAGTTTAAGGAGATGCAATTAAGTATGGGTGCCAAGTTGACAAGGGGTGCATTTATAGACATAATTTTAGGTGTCAACTTGATTGGATTAAGGACGATCTAGACACTTGATAAAGCATTATTTTCCATGGGTCTGTAAGAGTGCTTCCAGACACATTCAAAATAATGGATAAGATTAGTGTGTGAGTCTGAGTGGACTAGGTGGGGAAGATCTTCCCTCAGTGCTGGCCTGCGTCAGGGAACCAGAGAGAACAAATGCAGAAGGAAAATTGATCTCTCTCTGAGAGCTGGGACAGACTTTTCTTGTGCTACTTTGGACAGCAGAACCGCAGGCTCACTGGCCTTTCAACTACAGCAATTATATCTGGAGTGGCTCCAGAATGCTAAGACTTTTAGCCTCAGACTGAGAGTTGCACCATGGGCTTCCCTGGTGCTGAGGCCTTTGGACTTGGGCTGAGTCATGCTACAGTCATCCCATGGTCTTCAGCTTACAGACCGCCTATCATGGGACTTCTCAGCCACCAAAATTATGCAAGCCAATTCCCCTAATAAATTCACTCTCAATGTCTATATATATATCCTACTGGATCCGCCTCTCTGAAAGACCCTGACTAATACAGATTTGGTATTGGGGAAACTAAATTGATTCCTTCTTACTGTATTTTATGACACAGTGAAAGAGATCTGTGAAATTTTACTCTTGTAAAATGTGATTAACTGTGCAAGGCTAGTTAATGGCAAAAGATAAAGTTTAAAAGCTAATTGTTATTGGTGCTGTAAAAGCAGAAAATAGGTTAATTTCAATAGCGGTGTTGGACAGTATAATCTTACAAATCTTATACTGCACGATTCTATTTATATAGAATTCTGGAAAGTGAAAATTAACCAATTGTGACTAGAAGCAGTGGTTGCTTAGAGAGGGATGGGAAGGAGTTCAAGGGAAGAATCACAATAAGGGATAATCATGATGAAGTTTTCAGAGTAATTGATATGTTCATTGTCTTGATTGTGTTGGTAATTTCACAGGTATACACATACATCAAAACTAAACAAATTGAACACTTTAAATATGGGCAACTTAGTGTATATTAACTATGCTCCAATAAAGCTGTTTTTAAAAATCTTTGTGAGCTATCACTGGTGGAGGACAAAAGAAAGAGAGAAGTCCACCAGCAGCTCAATCTTTAAGGTTTACAACAATAATGGTACAGGTCAAACCCTCCAAAAAGGGCCAGGCTTGGGGGTAGCTGAAGATACCAAAATTTTGAGTGGACCTGGAAGTTAGCAGATGATTTACTCAGAAATCTGTGACATTTTTGTGTGGGCACATTTATGCAGAATTAGAAAAAGAAGAGGAATAAATAAAGGGAGTGGTATCAGATTTTGAAACTTGTTCTGAATTTTGGAATAGATTTGAGGCTTGTTAGTAATCTCATTGTGTCCCTTTTTGGCATAAAGTCACTAATTTTGTCAGTCAGATAGGTTTTTAACAGTGAAATAAGTTTCTGTACTGCTGCATTGAAAAGCTCTACATATAAATTGCAGGTGTATGGTATTATTATGTAAATTCTAGAACAAGCCTATGCCTTTTTCTTACTCAGTTTTCTACCACCCAACAAGACAGAATCTGTGCTCTCTTCTTAATTTGTCCAATATATAGCCTCTTTAGAACGCTGAGCAAACTCAAGTTCGACTTCTTCTTTTTCTTAGGTTCAATCACTGAATAATATTATTTTCTTTTTTTCTTATATACTGTCAACTCTAGAGACTTTACCCGCCCCCCCCCCAAAAAAAAGCTGTTAGAACTAATAAATGAACTCAGTAAATTTGCAGGATACAAAAAATATTTTTTAAGGCTGCATTTCTTTTTGTATTTTATTTTTATTATTATTGAGACGGAGTCTCGCTCTGTCGCCCACTCTGGAGTGCAGTGGCATGATCTTGGCTCACTGCAACCTCTGCTTCCCGGGTTCAAGTGATTCTCCTGCCTCAGCCTCTGAGTAGCTGGGATTACAGGCATGTGCCACCACACCCACCTAACTTTTGTAT